GCGCCTTCAATGCAAGGAAATGCTGTGTATGTTTGGTTTGTTTGGTTCGTTGGTCTGTGAAGCAACGAAGCACTGTGTACTGTTTTGGTTTTGGGGGACAGAGAGAAGGGTGCTGGTAGGGAGGCCGCGGCGAGCATGGGGGCTTGCAAAACTAAACAAAGTATTTCGTTGTTTCACAGACCCCCAAAAAACGTTTCCGTGGATTGAGGGCGCCAACCACTGTGCGTGTTTTTTTTTTTGGGGGGGGGGAGGGGAGCATCCTCCTCATCGTTCTCTTCCTCCTTCTGGTCATCTTCCTCCTGCTCCCTCTCATGATACCCCGTTTCCCTTCTCCCGGTCATGATCTTCATCCTGCGCCCCCCCACCAAGGGGCAGCATTGAGGTAACGGTTTATGTGTTTTGGAGCCTGTGAAACAACGAACCATTGTGTATTCTTTAGTTCTGCAAGGCCAAATGCTCACCGCGTCCACCACACAACGTTTCTTTGCACCGAGGGCGCCAAACATTGTGCATGTTGGTTTTCCTGGGTTTGGGGAGGGGGCCATCCTCCTCATCATCGTTCTCTTCCTCCTTCTGCTCATCTTTTTCCTGCTTCCTCTCATGATACTCGTTTCCCTTCTCCCTGTCATGATATTCATCCTGCGCTCCTTCCCAAGGGGCAGCATTGAGGTAGTTGTTTATTTGTTGTGAGCCTGTGAAACAACGAAACACTGTGTATTCTTTAGTTCTGCAAGGCCAAATGCTCACCGCGTCCTCCCTCTCAGCACCCCTCCCTCTGCCTCCCAAAACCAAGAGAGACCAAACATACACACTGTGTGGCGCCCTCGATGCAAGGAAATGGTGTGTATTCTTGTTGTTTTTGTTTTTTTGGCCTGTGAAACAACGAAACACTGTGGATTTGTTGTGATTGTTTTTTTCTTTGGTTTTGGGAGGCAGCGAGAAGGGTGTTGGTAGGGAGGCCGCGGCGAGCATGGGGGCTTGCAAAACAAAAAAAAACTACACAGTGCTTCGTCACAGACAACAGCGTTTCCTTGCATCGAGGGCGCCAAACACTGTTTTGGGGGTTGGGGAGGCAGAGAGAGGGGTGCTGCTGGTAGGGAGGCCGCGGCAAGCATGGGGGCTTGCAAAACAACAAACAACACGGTGCTTCGTTGTTTCACAGACTACAAAAACCAACACAAACAAAACCACACAACGTTTCTTTGCATCGAGGGCGCCAAACATTGTGCATGTTGGTTTTCCTGGGTTTGGGGAGGGGGCCATCCTCCTCATCATCGTTCTCTTCCTCCTTCTGCTCATCTTTTTCCTGCTTCCTCTCATGATACTCGTTTCCCTTCTCCCTGTCATGATATTCATCCTGCGCTCCTTCCCAAGGGGCAGCATTGAGGTAGTTGTTTATTTGTTGTGAGCCTGTGAAACAACGAAACACTGTGTATTCTTTAGTTCTGCAAGGCCAAATGCTCACCGCGTCCTCCCTCTCATCACCCCTCGCTCTGCCTCCCAAAACAAACAGAGACCACACATACACAGTGTTTGGCGCCCTCGATGCAAGGAAATGGTGTGTATTCGTGTTGTTTGTTGATTGTCTGTGAAACAACGATCCCCACATGTTTCGTGGGGTGTGGTTTTCTTCCCTGCCGCGCCGCACCCGCGACACTCACCCTCACACCTCCCTCTCCGTCTCTCTCTCTCTCTCTCTCTCTCTCTCTTTATATATATATATATATATAACACCTCACTCTTCCCCATCCTCCTCACAGCACTGCTCAGCTCAGCTCAGCTCAGCTCAGCTCAGCACGGCACAGCTGAGCACAGATCAGCTCAGCTCAACTCAGCACAGCACAGCACAACAGCACAGCACAGCACGGTACGGCACAGCACAGCTCACCGCACAGCAGCACAGCACAGCACAGCACAGCATAGCACACAGGGCATTCCTTCGACGCCACAGGGGGTGCCCTTGGGGTGGGGGCCCTATGCGCTGCAGGCCCCCAGGGCGTGGCAGGCGTGGCATGTCATGGGCGCCACAGGGGGTGCGCTGGGGGTGGGGGCCCTAGGCGCTGCAGGCTCCCAGGGCGTGGCAGGCGCGGCATTTCCTCGGCGCCGCAGAGGGTGCGCTGGGGGCGGGGACCCTATGCGTTGCAGGCTCCCAGGGCGTGGCAGGCGTGGCATTTCCTCGCCGCCACAGGGGGTGCGCTGCGGGTGGGGGCCCTATGCGCTGCAGGCTCCCAGGGCGTGGCAGGCGTGGCAGTTCCTCGGCGCCACAGGCGGGGCGCTGGGGGTATGCGCTGCAGGCTCCCAGGGCGTGGCAGGCGTGGCATTTCCTCGACGCCACAAGGCGTGCGCTGGGGGTGGGGGCCCTATGCGCTGCATGCTCCCAGGGCGTGGCAGGCGTGGCATTTCCTCGACCCCACAAGGCGTGCGCTGGGGGTGGGGGGCCCTATGCGCTGCAGGCTCCCATGGCGTGGCAGGCGTGGCATTTCCTCGGCGCCGCAGAGGGTGCGCTGGGGGTGGGGGCCCTATGCGTTGCAGGCTCCCAGGGCGTGGCAGGCGTGGCATGTCCTCGACACCACAGGGGGTGCGCTGGGAGGTAGGAGGAGGATGTAGAGGAGGAGGAGGAGGAGGAGGAGGAGGAGGAGGAGGAGGAGGAGGAGGAAGAGGAAGAGGACGGGGAGGTGGGGCAGCAGCAGCGGCAGCAACAGCAGCAGCTGCAGCAGCAGACGCAGCAGCAGCAGCAGAAGCAGCAGCAGCAGAAGAAGCAGCAGGAGGAGGACACCGAGGAGGAGGAGAAGGAGGAGCAGCAGCAGAAGCACCGATGGTACACATGGGAAATAAAATAGGTATGTGGGGTTCCTCGGTAGCGTAATTTTGTTTTTTGGGGGTTTTTGGAGGCAGAGTGAAGGGTGCTGGTAGGGAGGCCGCGGCGAGCATGGGGGCTTGCAACACCGAAACAAAAAACCCAAACACCAAACATACACAGTGTTTCGTTGTTTCACCGACAAAAAACAGCGTTTCCTTGCATCGATGGCGCCAACCACTTGTTTGTTTTTTGGTTTGGGGAGGCAGAGAGAAGGGTGCTGGTAATCAGATGCATGGAAGACGTGATATGGGATGCATGGAAGAAGAGGATGTATGATCATGTGTGGAGGAGGAGGAAGAGGAGGAGGATGAAGAAGAGGAGGATGAGAAGGAGCAAGCGATCAATGATGGATTTGTGGTTTTGGTGGTTTGGGGGGTGTTTGGGGGGGCGACCATATTTATATGTGTATATATATATATATACATATATCTATATGCACATATTTATATAAACATATATACATACGCATATAAATATAGAGAGAGAGAGAAAAAAAAAAAATGTGCGTGTTTGTGTGTTGACGATGTGGGTGCCCTGGGCCGGCCCAAGGGGCCCCGAAGACGGCCCAAGAGACCACCAAGACGACTGCAGCACGGGGATCATCATCTAGCTTGGGTGCCTAGGAGTGCTGCCTGGCCCGAAGACGGCTCAAGAGACCACCAAGATGTTTGCAGGACTGGGACCTTCATCTAGCCTGGGTGCCGAAGAATGCTGCCGGGGGATCCCGGGGACTGGGAGCCCAGTAATTCCTTCGAGCGCGCGGCCGCATTTGGTAATCCCGCGATTAGGCGCCTGGGGTTCTCAGAGACTTGGCAGTGTTCGGCATGAGAATGACACATTCATTGCAGTGGCCAGTCGAGGACCTAGGGACCCTGAGATCCGGGCGTTGCAATTTTTTCACACCGGGCGTTCTCACCCAGTTTCGGGCCTTGGGGCCATCACAAATCGATCTGGCTCGAAAAATGTTGCAGGAAGATTCGGCTCGGGGTTCCGGCCGTGATGTGTTGCGCTGTTGCCTTTTTTTCTCGGCGTCGGATCCCAGGCAGCGAACCGCTCAGTGCTTGCGGCACGGATGCGTGTCACGGCGAGCGCGTGGCGTCGCATGGCCCTTGCATTAAGTCGGGCACGTCCCTCTACAGGGGGCATATCCAAATATGGTTAAAAATATAGGGGCGAGTTTCGATTCTTGTTCGACCATTTTTGAGCATTTTTGGGCTATGTCTCATTTTTCCTACAAAATCCGCCTGTAGGACCATGCCCGACCTGGCTCTTGCACCGCCTCCTGGGGGCAGCCTCGTGGGGGGCCTCGAAGGGTGGTGGTGGATCTCTGGGGCCCCAGGAGACAGTGCTTCCACCTGGCGATGACGGGCGTGACCGGCGGGGATGGGGAGGGGAGGGGGCCAGTCACATCACGATTCGCGCCAGCGCCGCGTCTTGGGAACGCCTAGTTAAGAATGGCCAATTCCCTTCCTAGACGGCGCCAGCGCGAATCGTGACGTGACTGGGGGGGGGCCGGGGGCCGGTCACAGGCGCTGTCGCGAAGGATCCAAACATGAGCTCCAGATGGGGCTCGGAGCCGTGGGGGAGTCCTGGGGCCGTCGGGGGGCGTGTAGGTTTGGTGTGGCCGTCGTGCGGCTGCGCTGGAGCTATGATGGGCCGTGTCGGGGCTGTTGGGGGGGCCTCGAGGGGGCGCCTCCTGGACAGCTGGGGCCTCGTCCCGAGCCTTTCTCGGGGGGTCTGCAAGGGTTGCCAGGGTTGTCTTGGAGAGTCGTGCAGTGCCGTCGAGTGGCGTCTTTGGTCGAAGAAAAAACCGCATAAACATAAACTTTTGGCGCTTCGCGCGGAGCACCAAAAGTTTATGTTCATGTGGTGTTTTATCATTATATGTGGGCCCTTTGGGAACTTGGGCCCAGCTGCGGCTTGCCCTGGAGTCGGGCGGCCACCTGGTACTCCTTGTCGGGAGCGCAACGAAAGAGCTCATCTCACTGCCCAGAGGACAGGAGGGTTTGAGCTTACTATGCCTGTGCCTTGGCATCCGTTTCTCTTGGAGGGCCTTCCTTGCTTTGAAAGGAGCAGTGGCGCTTCTGATGCTCAACGCTGGAAACGGAGCTCGACGCACGCCTACGCGTACCGCTGCAAGCGCGGTGGCGGATCTTGCTTATCATCGGCTGGTTGTTGTCAGGCACCTGGGATGAGAAGGACGAGTTCAGAATTTCTGAGGCTGGAGTCAGTACGATTCCACCGCCTCGGGAATTGATGTCCCATAGCTGAAGGAGGCAGTGGATATTGATACTCTCGGGCCCCACGGGGGCCAACATATGTCGACATCTATTGCCTCCTGAGGTTCCGGGACTTCGTATCTCCAGGCGGAGGATGTGTATCCATTCCAGCCTCTGATAATTGTCGTGAATAAGGTTTGCGAATCCCGGAAATTGGAGAGCGGAATGAGCGGTTATTTGATCGAGTTCATCAAACAGTTTGAGAAGGTGTGCAGCGTCAGACACCAGAAATTGTGGGCTTTCGAGTCCACAAGCGACCCGCCTGGGTTTTTGCTGAAGGCCCAGGGGCCCATGAAGCACGACGTTCTTTTCAAGACCATCACTGAGGAGGAGAAGGATGATTGGAATACTTTTTGGCTCAGGGACAAACTCGATGCTTTCAAGCAGTGGAGCTACGTTATTCCCTTGGCAGCAACGGTTGACGTGGATGGCCAGGCTTGGGGTGTCGAGCCCAGCTCGTATTTGCACAACGCGGGCATGAGGGGTAAGAACTTCAGCATCACTGGAGACCCTTCCCAGGACACCGCATGGCTCGCTGACCACCCGAACGCGCTCCGCGTCTCGATGGAGCGCTGGGAGAAGATGACCATCCGCCTTTCCGAGGACGTCGAGCAGATGCTGAAGTACTCGAAGTCGTCGTACAAGATGCGGGTTACGGTTCTCGACGCCGCGGAGGTGGAAGAGACAAGCCCGCTCGGCAAGCACACGTGGCGGGCCCGCGGCGGCAACGGGCACGGCGTGGGCCTCCTCCTCGGTGGCGTCACGGACTACCTGGGATCGCTGCGGGGCCCGAGCTCGGACGCTGTGCGCGCGTGCCGCTTCTTCCTGTTCATCACGACGAGGGTGGCCGTTCCGTGCAAATGCCGAGGAAGAAAAGGAGGCGTGTACGGCACAGGCATGAAGTTTCGGAGCTCCGCGCGGATTGCTTGGATCGGCGCCAGGCCGCGCCCTCACTGGCGCGCGGAGCGCGCCGGTGGCGGCGCCAGAGGCGCCGCCAGGGGGGTCCAGCGCCAATCCAAGAGATCCGCGCGGGCTCCAAAAGTTTACATTCGTGCTTTTGTTTCTTCCTCCAGCATGGTCGCACGACGAGAGCCAGCCTCAGCACTGCGTCACGGACTTCGGCCCCATCTTCGAGGACGTGCTGGGCAAGCTGGTCTCCGAGGCCGACCTTGCCGCGGCGTTCGCCAGGGCCAGGCTGGACGGCGACATGGTCGGGGCGGTCTGCGAGGCATGCGCCTCCCCGCTGTCCCTCTTACGCTTGCCGCTGCCTCTGCGGCTCCTCTCTCGGGCCGTGCCGGGAACTTAGCAGGACGGAGTCTCCAGTGGCATCGCCCAGACGTGTGCATGTTTCCTCGGCCAGGACCATCAAGGAGCATCTTGTGGTATCTTGCGAAACATACACGCGCGAAGCCGAAAAATGGCACGAGGGATGGACGTCCGAGCGATGGCGAGTCTTAAACATGCAAGTCTGTCGTAAGTCACCATGTGGCCTCTAGGGCTCGTGCAGTTGAACATTCGGGTAAACGCACGCGTTCAGCAAATGTCTGGCGCTCAGAGTCGTATAAAGTAATTTCGGCGAATAGTTGGGACCCTCACGAATGTTGCATGATGCAAAAAGTAGGTTGAGCGCGATTGTTTTACGCGCGCGCCCGTGTTTGTTACGAAGCGAACTTAGCATGATACCCCAGTAGCAACGCAAAAAACGACTTCGCCGAGAGCAAACATTCAGTGGTGACGAGGGGGTCTCCTCCACCTCGATCCTCCTCGATCCTCTTCCTCCCTGATCCTCGATCCTCCTCTTCCTCGATTCTGTATCCTCCATCCTTCCATCCTTCATCCTACTACTCCTCCTTCTCGATCCTCCTCGATCCTCGACCCCCCTCGATCCCTGATCCTCGATCCTCATCCTCTTCCCCGATCCTCATCGATCGTCGATCCTCCTGCTGCTCCTCCTCCTTCTCATCGATCATCATCCACCTTCTTCTCGATCCTCCTCGATCCTTACCTCGATCCTGGATCCTTCTCGATACTCGGCGATCGATCCTCGATCTTCCCCCCCTCCTCGATCCTCTGATCTATCATCCTCGATCCTGGGCCCTCGATCATCGATCCTCCTCGATCCGTCCTGCCCCGAGATTTGAGCCTCGAGTGATCGACCCTCTTCGACCCTCATCGATCTTCTTCGAACCTCTTCCTCCTTGGTCCTTGGCCCTCGATCCTCGATTCTCCTCCTCCTCCTCCTCGTTCACCCCTGGTCATTGATCTTACGATGCTGCTCCTAGGTGATGTTCCTCCTTCTCGGTCCTCGATCCTCCTCCTGCTGGATCCGTCCTGCCCCGATACTCGATCCTCGACTCATCGACCCACATCGATCCTCATTCTCATCCTCCTCCTCGACCCTCATTGACCCTCGACCCTCCTCGATCCACCTCTTCGTGGAGTATGGGGTTTTTGAGGAGGATCGAAGTGGAGGAGGAGGAGGATAACCCCCGCGTCGCCACTGAATGTCTCCTCTCTGCGATATGTTTATGTTGCGTTGCTAATTTCTCGAGGGCCCAGTCTACTGTATCGGACTCGTTGGAATCCAGTATCTACGTCGGATCCCATTGGAATGTATCGGACTCTGTTGGTCTCCAGTGGTTGGATTTGGCTACACTGCGCCCATGTCTTGGTTGGAATCTTTTGGACACCAATGGACTCCATTGGAATCCCTTGGACCTCCTTGGAGGTACGTTGGGATCTGGTTGGAATCCACTGCTGGGCCCCGTGGGATTCCCCTGGAATGTCCCTGGGAGCTCATTGGGCTTCAAGAGTCTACCTCTTACACATGGCCCCATTATATTCCACTGGGCTCCATTGGATCCCCTAGGGTTCCGCTGGAATCCCCGGGGGCCCACGAGATCCCGTTGGGATCCTTTGGACTCCGTGCTGCCAGCCATGGGATCTGTGGGCGGCAAGCAAGCAAGGAAGCAAGGGAGCAAGGAAGAAGAAAGGCATCAAGCTGGCGAACGCCGAAACTCGCAACCAAGCAAACGCAACCACGCACGTAATCCGCGCGCGTACGCATAATAGCCAACGCGAAGGTTCACAATCGCGCATAACAGCAGGCGCAACCGCGGCTGTCATATGGGACACGACGCGTATCATGCGGTGTTGGAATCAAGATTTGTCGGAACAAGTCGACCGGGATCTGTTTGCAGCGGCGCTGGAATGGCAGCCAGAGCTGTCGCACCACCAGGCCGCCGTTTGCCCTCCAGGGTGCACTCGGCATCCCGCCCAGTCACGGCAGCTGCAGTCCAGCATAAGGATTTTTTGCACAGGGACACGTTGGCATACAACGAGTCTCTATAGACCGTCGAGTCCACCGCAGCACCCCTCCTCAGGCTGTCGCTGCTGAAAGATGCCACCCGCCAGGTGGCTGAGGGTATTTCGCGCGAGCTGCAAACAGGACACCCCGCTGAGGCAACAGAGGACAAGGTTGGCCTCACCATGCAGTTCCTCAGGGCAGTCGAAGGAGGGCATACGGGGCGCATCAGCAAATGCATTGAGCGGTACCCCGAGTTGGCCAAACTCGTGGGTAACCCGTACTCCCCAGAGCTGAGACAGGCGGGGCGCTTGCAGGCAGTGCGCAGCCATGCCGTCGAGCTTGCTCGGGAGCGTGCGGTGGAGGAGCTCCAGCGCTTCAGCGACGATCTTCTTTTGCTGGACGCCAGGGAGGCGGCTGTGCGGCAGGGCCGCAACTGGCGCCTCATACCGAGGCTCGCTCCTGGGCGCTGCCAGTCAATCCAGGCAGTCATGGACCCTGCGGGCACTGTCCGCACCGAGCCCGCTGCCATGGCCCAGGCTCTCCGCGACCATTGGGGCGAGGTCTTCAAGGCGAGGCCGCTCAGCAGGTCTTTTCGCAGACGCTGGCTCGGCGCAGAGCGGCGCGCGCGCGTGGCGCGTGGGGGCTCGCGGCTTCCGGCGGCAGACGACCCGAAATGGCAATTGCGATCGCGTGACGTGGGAGCTGCCCTCGAGCGGGCCCCCTCTACGGCGCCAGGCCCGGACGGCCTGGCCTTCGCGGCGTGGAAACATGTGGAAACGCCTCGGCCCCCTCGCAGTCGACGTCCTCTTCGCGGTGCACGAGCAGCTGGCTAGCCCCGATGCGGAGGAAGCAATCCAGCATGACTACCCTGGGTACAACGACAGCCTCATGGTGTTTCTCCCGAAGACACCCACCTCTGAGAGCGACGACGGCACCCCGCAGTTTGCGCCGGCCGACACTCGGCCGCTGAGCCTGTTCAACGCAGACAACTGACTCCTGGCCAGCGCAGTTCGACACCGTCTCGAGCCCATGTTCGCTGAAGATATCTCAGCAGAGCAACGAGGCATTCTGAGTGGGCGCTCTATGTTGGCCAATATAATCGACGTGGATGAAGCGATGCAGGCGGCGGCACTCACTTGCGAGGACGGTGCGGCGATATTATTCGATTTTGCCGCCGCCTTCCCGAGCGTGGGCCAGGACTTCCTCTTGGACGTGCTCGCTGACTCAGGGATCCCGGCGCGCCCGCTGCGATCTCCAATCGCTCTAATTTCACAATCGCTGTAGGCTGGTCATAGGGGGCAGCGAGCACGAGGGATTTCCAGTGACAACCGGGATTCGCCAGGGCCGCCCCCTCTCCCGCTGCTCTTGCGATCGCTGCGGACCTGCTGCTTCGGCGTCTCGGTCGGGCTCTCTCTGGCGCCGTCCGCCGAGCGTATGCAGACGATCTGGCGGTGGTGACCAGGGAAGGGGCGAAGGCGGCGGCTACGCTGGAGCCCTTGTTTGACGAGTACACCGCCTTGTCTGGTCTCAGCTTGAACCTCGGGAAAACAGCGTGGCTCCCGCTTCGGCTTGGAGACCCTGAAGGCGCGCGCCTGGAGGTGGCCGCCCGCGCGCCGTCTTGGGGCGGGCTGCGGTTTGCCCACAAGGCCAAGTACTTCGGCTTCCTCCTGGGGCCCGAGAGAGGAGAGCAAGGCTGGGATGCCGCCAGCGCCAAATATTTCCAGAGGGCACGCGAGTGGGGTCGCTCAGGAGGCGGCATGTTCGCCAATCCGATTGGATACTCAATGTATGCCTTCTCGGCTATGAGCTTCCTCGCGCAGCTGGACGCGCCACCGTCGAACTGGGGGCAACTGGAGAGCGCTGCGCTGCCATCCCTTTACGTCGGGCCCAGCTGGTGGGCGCCCGCGGCCGCCCTGCACGGCCTCCTTCTCCCGGGCTTTTCCGCGCGCCTTCCAGACCTGCCTGCGGCGGCGCTGGCGGCGAAGTACCGAGTGTGTCAATTTGAGGCGGCGGCGGAGGGCGGCTTGCGCGCGGCGGCCAGAGCAGCGGAGCTGCGCGCGACGCGGCTGCACAGCACGGCACCGCTTGCGCGCCTGGGGCGCTGGAGCAAGTGGTTCAACAGCTCGTTCCTCTTGCAGCTTGATGCGGCGCAGAGCTACTTCCATCCGCGCGCGCTGGGCCCGCGCCAGGTGGCACTGGCAGCGGGCGCGGCCGACCCCGTGCGCCTAAGGAAAGCCTGGCATGATCGAACCCGACAGGGGCGCGTCCCAGGCACGCTTCTTGCGGCATCGGCTGTCGCGCTGGCCTTGCGACCTGTCAGTGGAAGAGATGACCAACCGCGCATTGCGCGCGTATCCCGCCATAGCAAGGCGAGTTCCCCCGCGGGCGTTGGCCGCGTGCCTGCGGACGCTTTGGAACGGCTGGGTCACCGCCCGGCGGTTTCAGCAGCGCGCGGGCTGCTGCTTCGGGTGCGCAGACGGCGAGGATCCCGTGGAGCACTACGCCGATTGCCCCTGCGTCGCGACGGCGGCGGCCGACCTGCTGAGGCTGCCCCAGCTGGCCTCACGGGAGGCGCGGCTCGCCGGGTTCTTGATCCTGGCGCCCGCTCACAGCGAGCAGACGGCTCCCGAGCTGCGGCGCCGGGCGCTTCTGACGGCCAGCGTGTACCTGACCCACTGTCGGTGCAGGCACGCCGTAGGCCGCAGCCCCGCTGCCTGCTTAAACGCGCTGAGGGTGACCATCCGCCAGGTGCCAGCGCCAGTTCTGTTTCTCGTTTTTTTGTCCGTCCGTCCTCCTCCTCGTCCTTCTCCTCCTCCTCCTCCTCCTCCTCCTCCTCCTCCTCCTCCTCCTCCTCCTCCTCCTCCTCCTCCTCCGTGAAGTGCAGCTTTGCTGCGAATCTCGGGGTCGATTCGCTCCCTGTAGTGAATTATGATTTTTCTCGCGAGGCTGAGGTCCCTCCTGCTGTCGTCTTCCGTCGTCGTCGTCGTCGTCGTCGTCGTCGTCGTCGTCGTCGTTGTCGCTCGTCTCCCCGCTCCTCCCGCCCTCCCCGCTCCTTCCACGGCAGCCGCTGACATGTCCCATGATTATGGGAGTCATCCGCGGCGTTCTCCCCCCTCGGGGGCTGTGCCTTGCTGCGGGCTGGCCGGTGGGCGAGACCCTGGGTACCCGCTCGCGGATGCTTGGGGACTCGGCGCCGTGGCCACGGCTCGGGACGGCGCCCGCTCCCTCCTGTGTCTCCCCCGTCGTTGCTGCTTGCTGCTGTTGGACCCGCTCTCGCGCCTCGGGGGTTCGACGTCGTGCCCGCTTCGCTATGCTACGTATCACTGGTTCGGGTTCGGGGCTTGTGCTCTCATAGTTGCTACAGCTATGTAGTTTGACCAGTGTGCTGCGTTCCCCGGCCTGGGGTGGGATTTATTTTTTCCGTCGTTCAGCGCGCGGGGTTAGTTGATACGTTGCTGGGATGTTTCGTATCAGTCTCTCTCTCTCTCTCTCTCCCTCCCTCGCCTCCTCATCAGTTCCTCCTCCTCCTTCCGCCTCGCCCCCCCCCCTCGGATTCGAGGTGCCGAGCTGTCGATCGCAGCCAGCAGATTCATCCGTGGCTGTGGAGGCCCTGGGCGCTCGGCAAGAGCGTGCAGCCTCACCCCCTCCCTCCCCCCGCCCTCCTCCTTCCCTCCCGTTCCTCCCTTGCTCTCCTCCTCGTGGTGGCGGGGTGAGGCGCTCGGCCTCCATGGGCGGCCTCCGCGCCAGATCGCTGGCGCCGTCCCGTCTGCGCGGGTCGCGCGTGTAGCCCGCAGGTCGCGCCCCGTCGGCGCGGCCGCCCACCCCTTTTCCCCATCTAGTCTTGCCCAATCTTGTTCCGTAGTTTGCACTCTGGGTGCATTGAAGATGCCTCCCCCGTATCACGCGGGCACGTGGCAGTTCACGACCCGCTATGGGGCTCTAGGCTTGAACTGTATACCTTCGTTTTGTCAACTATCTCACGCCTTTCTTGCTCGGCTCAGTTTGCGCGTTTATTTTTGTTCCGATTGCAACCCGTCCCCACAAACGGCATTTTGCCTGACACAGGGGGCTCTGCACAACGAGGTCGATGCACGTGTCAGGGCGTGCGCTCGTGGAACGATCGAGGCACTATTTCTAGTCAGTGCTCTCCACGTTTCTCTTCAGCCTGGCCCAGTCTCGCCCGCTCGCTCGCCGAGTTTTTGTTGCTCCGACGTTGCGGAGCGATGCGTAGCTGTCCCCGCCGCGTGGCCGATGCAGGCGGGCGCAAGCCTAAGTGGGGTCAGACTGCACACTGGGGACCGGCCACCCAGCTGCGGCTCGTGCTCACGGAAAAAATATGTGTATATATATCATATCATATTCCGTTCGAGCATTTTCCCAAAATGAAACTTGGAGGTTGACGCTCCTAATTGTGTTCGGCATTCATATTCAAGGTTTGCGTTCGAGTGGACGTATGGCGTTCAGAAAACGAGTGGCGTTCATCTTAAGTCACTTGCAAGTTCCTTCGGACTCTTGCCAACTCCAGCGCGCCCTGGCTGAGATCTGGGCGCTGCAATTGTTGCACGCCGGCCGTCCTTGCCTGGTTTCGGGCCCCAGGGCCATCGCAGGTCGACCTGGCTCGGAAAATGCCGCAGGAAGATGGGGTCTGGGGCTCTGGCTGTGATGTCTTGCGATGCTTGTTCCCGGAAAGGGCACAGGCCCAGGGTTCTCTTGTAGAAGTTTGCCCCCGGATCTGACGGCTGTAGGGCCGGCAAATTTCTTCTGCGATTAATAACGAGGTCGCGTAGGGCCGGCGAATTAAAATTTGAGGATGTCCGTAGCGAAACGCTTGGTTTTGTTTCAGACATTGTTGAGGATGTCTCGAGCGAAACGTTTGTTTTGTATTATAGATTGTCCTCCCCTGGGGACCTGAATTCAGAGGATCTCAAGTGAAATGCCTGTTTTCACGTGCCCAGGTCTTGAGGATGTCTCAAGCGAGACGCTTGGTTTCACGCCTCCAGGTTGCCCAGACAGATGTCTAGCATGAGGATTTGTCGAGGATGTTTCGAACCAGGGGCTTGTTTTCACGTGTCCAGGTCGCCCAGGCGGGTGTCTAGCATGAGGATGTGTCGAAGAAGTCTCGATCGAGACGCTTGTTTGCACGTGTCCAGGTTGCCCGGGCGGATGCCTAGCATGAGTATGTGCTGAGAACGTCTTGAGCGAAACGCGTGTTTTCACGTGTCCAGGTCGCCCAGGCACAGCACAGCCCTCGGCACGGTACATCAATATCGATACCCTTAGCATTGCAGCCTGGCATGCTTCCTGGCACGTTCCGCGGAGCGTCCCGTGGCGAGTCCCCCTGGCACGTCGCGCGGTGCACGTCCATTGGCACGTTCCGTAGCGCGTCCCCTTGGCACGTCCCGCGGTGCGTGCCCATGGCACGTCCCCTGGCACGTCGCTTGGCGCGTCCCTTGGGACGTTCTGCGGCGCGTCCTCCTGGCATGTCCCCCTGTCGATTAGTTCTGGTGCAGCTACCACCTGCTCAGGCAGCTCGAGCTTAAAATCCAGATCAGTTCGGTCAGGACTCGGATGCAAAGAGGACTCGATCCACAGCGCTATCTAGAGCACAATCGCGGCATGGCACATCGCAGTTCGGCACGGCCCAGCACAGCACAGCCGTCCGCACGGTACATCAAGATCGATACACTCACAGTTGTCTTTTGGCACGTTCCTTCGCGCGTTCCGTGGCGAGTCCACCTGGCAAGTCGCGCGGCGCGTCCCCTGGCACGTCCCGCGGCACGTCCATTGGCACGTTACGTAGCGCGTCCCCTTGGCACGTCTCGCGGTGCGTGCCCATGGCACGTCCCCTGGCACGTCGCCTGGCGCGTCCCTTGGGACGTTCCGCGGCGCGTCCTCCTGGCATGTCCCCTCTGTCGATTCGTTCTGGGGCAGCTACCACCTGCTCAGGCAGCTCGAGCTTAAGGTCCAGATCAGTTCGGTCAGGACTCGGATGCAAAGAGGACTCGATCCACAACGCTATCTAGAGCACAATCGCGGCATGGCACATCGCAGTTCAACACGGCGTAGCACAGCACAGCCCTCGGCACAGTACATCAAGATCGATACATTCAGCATTGCATTTGCCCGTCGCCCAATCAGGTGTCTTTGAAACGTTGCCATGCCTTACATTTCTATATTCCTTTCCGGGTTCGTGGGTCGATCATGTTTTTTGTCGCGCAACGCCGGATCTCCAGGTTGCTCCCAGGGTCCACCGATCGATCCGGTTCGATATCGATCTCGGCCGGCCAGATCCGAGCCGACCGCGATGCAGCGGCGATCCGATGCGGCCCGCTGCTCGCGCGGCGCCGTTGTACATCCTGGCGCGGCCAGGTCCGATTCGATTCCAACTCCGCTCCCATGAGGCCCGAGTCGATGCGCATCCCGATCCGATCCAGCTTCCCGATTCGATGATGTTTGATCATGCAGTCAAGACGCCGAAGCAAGGACCGCTCTGGGCTCAGAAGGTCGTCGTTTTCTTATTCATTGTTTTGCCGATCGGCGCGGGCTGGTGGACGGGCTCAGCTGGATGCTTCCGTTTCAGGAGTTCCCTTCTTCTAGTGGCCGTTCGGAGCGATTCTCCTTCCAACCCCACCTTGGCCCCAACCCCACCTTTGTCGAAGGTTGATAGACCTCCAACATTGACACGTCGATTAGCGAATTTGCTTCTTTCGGTTGGCGAGAGGGCGTCGCGGCTGTCATTTCTGTTGTTCCAGATCCGTCTCTTTCGGTCTTAGGGCCGTTTTCATTAAACGGTGGTTTACTAAAAGGAGATTTGTCCACCGCCGACTTTGTGCCCCCCCGAAATGGCGAAGCGCCGAATACGAAAACGCTCCCTGGGGCCCAGGGGCTCCTCAGATTTTCGGGGAGCCCGTTCCATTCGCGGCGCAGGGGCTCGCCGTGGCGAGTCGGGCCTTTCTCTTCGTTCCTGAGGCAGCGCTCCTCACAGGCCCTCGGAACAGAAATATAGCGAGCACTCGTGCCACACTCATCGGTCCACGCCTGCCCCTCCCCCCAATTGTTCAGACTTTCAGCGGAGGGAAATGCACCCATACCTCTACCCTTCGCCCGTTTTCCCCTCTTTGGGCCTCCTGGGAGGCCCTCGTCGCCACCGCTGGATTCGCCTCGAAATCCTGGTCGGAACGCGCTCCAGGAGAGGTCCAGGGAGTAGCGGTATCAGTACCTTTTGGTCTCCCCGAAGTTGGCGGTGGGTCTGATGAATGGGACTCCGACAGCAGCCTCCTTCGCGCGTGCCAGGTTTGAGTTTGGGGGAAGGGGGAGTGCACCTGGAGTGCTTCCCTCCACCCTGTGGTCTCAGACATGCGATGCCTTGGTTTTTGTCGCACGCGGTCCCCGGAAATCACGACCTTCACCGCCCACCAAACCACCCCAACCCAACCCGAAGGCCCCGAGTTGCCCTCCATTTCCAGTGGGGGGGGGAGGTCGGGGAACATCGAAAAACACATATGAAGCCCGACCCCCCCCCCCAGCCCGAAATTCGGGTCTTCGGGTTGGGTTGGGGTGGTCTGGCAGGTAGTCAGACCTTGTCCCCAGGGCAGGTTGTTCATCCCGAGCTGTTCTGTTCGCGGTGCCACTGCCCGTCGAGAGAGCCCCCAGAGGCCGAGACCGGTCAACAACAACTTTCCTTCCGTGATGTTTGTTCATGACGCGAGCATGCTTGGATTAAGTCGGGCTCGTCCCTCTACAGGAGGAATATTCGAACATAGTAAAAAATAGTCTGGGGAAAGTATGTTTAAGTATCTTTGTTTTTGTTGGTGACTATTTCTAATTTTTCGCTGTAGGGGGACAGGCCCGACCTAATGCTTGGAGTAGCACGAGGGCTGTATCATCCTCCCCGAGGCCCTCGAGGGGAGCGCCGCAGGCGAGAGCCCCTTCCTGCGGCTTGAGGCGGGCCTCTTGGAGCACACTGCCGAGCAGCTCGAGGCTGGCGCCGCGTGCGCTGGTGAGGAGTTTCGCGCCCCAGAGCACTGCAGGGGCGCCTTCGCGGGGGTTGCTGAAGGTGTCGTTGGCCCAAGGGCCTCATCGAGGATGAAAAGAACCTCTAAGCCTAATAACACAGTGAAGACGTGGCCTCATTGAGGTCCCCATCTGTGCATTAGTGATACTAGATGTGGGCGTGGGCGATCTGGGTTCGCTACGTCTGCAGAACAGAGCCCCTATGCCAAATGTTTTCGGCTCTCCTAGCTTAGGTCCCCTCCCAAAGGTTTAGTGGTCTTTTGTTGGTTACTCAAAGGGGTCGCTCTAATCCGCGGACGACCTGCGTGCGCGGCGTCTCCCGAGGCGTCCAGAAAAAAAAACGGCATAAACGTAAGTTTTCGGCGCTCCGCGCGGATTTTTTGGATCTGCATTTTTTATGCCTTTTTGTTGTTCCTCTAGCGTCGTCGATCTTCGACCCAGGAATGGTACGGGGGTTAGTTTTTCGGCCCTCAGAGGCGAACAACAGCGCACTTTGCCGCGTTGGAGCGAGGCCTGAAGGGAGTCCAGACGTGGTGCGGTGCATGAGCGCCGTTCTTGTATCCAAGTTGGACAAGTGGGTCTGGCGCAGATGGAGGGGCGGTGGGAGGCGCAATCGTTCATTCATTGGGTGCTTTTTCGCGACATGGTGCGCAACAGCTGTGAGGGGACACGGACTGACGCAAGGGCAACAGCTATCGCATGGGAAAAGCACGCGCAATTGCGTCCGCGCACAACCATGTCATCCAGCGCGCAGGCTGTTGCATCCAGGCACTACTTGTTGCGAGTGCTGTTGCACCTCTCCTCGCGGGCCCATCTGCGTCAGACCCACTACTCTGGATGAAAGTCTCTTGTCTCTCTGCCCCACTTCTCTTCCGCGCCAGGTTTCCCGCTTTGACCCAGGAGGAAAGGACGATGACGGTCCTGCGGCAGGACTACCTTCCGACTTCACACTTTTGTCGCAGAGATCTGACATCGGTGCATGGGGTCATCATCGCTGCCGTGAAAACAAGTATAGGAACCCCTTTCTGTAGACGGGCTGACGGCGATGCAGGTAATGGCGATGGAGTTTTCGGTAGCGCGGGAACGCGTGGCTCGCGCTTTCCTGCAATTCGCTGTGTCGTGTTCGCTCGATCCACTCGCAGATGGGAAGTGTAGGAACCTGTGGCGCATGATTTCCTGCCATATGGTTCCCAGCATCACCGTTGAGCAGCATCACCGTTAGAGCCCAGCCTTGGCCTCTGACCCGACCCCCTGTGCCTCGTGAGGGGATGTCCTGGGAGCGATCTAGGTCCCCTTGGGGGATCCTGGGGACACCTTGGGCCAGGAGCGCTTCTGGCTGCACCCGACCTTCGAGCACGAGGGCCAGCATCCTTGGGGGATCCTGGGGACACCTTGGGCCAGGAACACTTCTAGCTACACCCGACCTTCGAGTACGAGGGCCAGCAGAGAGTGGGCTGCGTGACCGACGTTGTCCTGTTCGAGGACATCTCAGGGGTTACGTTAGGGGGGGGGTAAGCTCAGGGTGAGGAGGCATCGATCCCAAATCGCCCATTCATGGCCGACAGGGGCCCATAGCCCACCCCGCCCAGGAACGCGCAGACCCGCTATCAAGAGCCGATTGCCGATCTACCGCCGATGAATCATCACTTTGGGGTCGGTGTCCCCCCCCTCCCGGGAGCCAGTCCTCCCTGAGACCCGGCGCTGCGAAAAAGTTGCAGCCTCACGAAGAATCACGACCAGAGCCTTTTGGATCCCATCTTCCTGCGGCGTTTCTCGAGCCGCATCGATCCGTGCTGGCCCGGGGGGGCCCGAAAAACCGGGCGAAGAGACGCCAGGTGTGCAAACAATTTGCGCCGCCCCGGATCGCAGGGCCTCCCCCCCACCCCCTTAGCGTGGACCTTCGACATCCGAGCCCCCTGGTGCTCGTGGAACGACGAGATGCCCGCCGATGTCGACTGGGACGGGCCCTGGAGCTTCTGCGTGGCGTGCCGGGGCGCCCCTGGGCCGGCGCCGTCGGTGCCCGAGTCCGTCACGGCCCTCTGCAGCGCCGGCGTGGAGAGCGGGTTCCCGGGCCTGGACCAGAGGCCAGAGGGGGATGGTTGTTCGAGAGCACGAGGAGGAGGAGGAGGACCAGTGTAAACGCAAGAGTCATCAACGATGTTGGAATTGACCATCCCTCCAAGCTCCCTCTTTATAGGCCCCTACAACGGTTCATTTCCATTGAGGGAACTGCCTCGCTGGAAGACAACCGTGTGAAGATCCTGAACCATGCCAAAACATTGTTCTCGGGGGGTCAACGCCACGGATCAATCTGACTGCTGCGTCTTGACGATCCGGAATCGTGCCAGTACGCCCTTTTTGGGATGTCAACACCGCGAATCAACATAATTGCTGCACTTGCGTAATCGTGAATCCTTCCAAAAACATCATTTCTGGAACGCTGAACATGGGAATCCGCGAACTCTTGCAATTGTTTAAACGGATGTTCGCGGCGCTAAGGCGAGAGCCACATTTTGAAAACCACCCGCCCTCAATCCGTGAAACTCTTGCAAATATTTAAAAGAATGCGCGCGGCGCTAAGGCGAGAGCCACATTTTGAAAACCACCCGCCCTCAATCCGTGACATTCTTGCAAATGTTGAAACAGAATGTGCGCGGCGCTAAGGCGAGAGCCACATGTTGAAAACTACCCGCCCTCAATCCGTGCAACTCTTGCAAATGTTAAAAGCGAATGTGCGCGGCGCTAAGGCAAGAGCCACATTTTGAAAAGGAACCGCCTTCAATCCGTGAACCTCTTGCAAATATTTAAAAACAATGCGGCGCTAAGGCGAGAGCCACATTTTGAAAACCACCCGCCCTCCATCTGTGAAACTGCTGCCATCTTCTGAACTTCAGAATCATAAATGGTGAGGAAATCTCAGGCGAAACGCCCAGACCGCCCTAAAAACTAGCCTCGGGGTGCGACAGGGAGAAGTTATTTCTAATGAAAAGGAATTAGGGGGG